TCGATTCACTATTGACTTGGCAGATAAGAGGAAAACTTCAGGGGAGAAAGGCTAGTCAATGAAGGAAAGAACTTTGCACTGGCAGGGACTATAGTACTAAACAAATATGAGAGAGTGAAATGTGTAGGGGAAAGGGTAGGAAGGAAAAAGGGCAAAATGCTTTGAAGAAGTTAAAGAACATCTCCGTCATCACCATTTGAATTAACCAAAATCATAAAGGAAAAAAAAAAGATGGAAAGGAAATGGTTGAGAATCTTTGGAAGGACCTTTCAGCGTTTGAGTTGTTGCTAAAAAGTCTTTCATGCAAATATATTGGCCCCTGTTGTCCAGGGGGAAGGACGAAGAGGCAGGACCACTAGGCTACAATGCCTCTATTCTTTGGAAAAGAGCAGAAGATGTAAACAAAAACACAAACCAATGTTTATATCCTCAATTAACATTTCTTCCCCCTTCTTTATACAAATAATTTGTTACATTTTTCACTTTTTCCTACTACTCAGTTTCATATTCCTTATTTATTTATTTTTCATATTGCTTTTAATTAAAAGGAAAGCATTTGCCTCCAAACTATCAGGTGACAGGGCAGAGGACAGCTTCACTTTTGTGATCTCTCAGCTCTTGGTTTCTATCATTATTAGGTAGCCAAAATACTGAAGAAGGGATTCTAAGTACCTACTAGCAGCAGTTACTTTGGATTATTCAGGGATGTACTCACTACTACCTCGTACATAATACAAGATCAAACAAAGGGTAACCATCCCCCCACCCCCGTCACATGGAGACAGGCACACTCACAGTGGTTTCATTCAGCTCTTGCGAGTAGGGTTAGTAGGACGCCACGTGAACTCCATTTAGTAGCTATCTACTGACCAATACTTAAATTGACTTTTCAACATCGACGACCTGAACCAGCGTGTGGCACTACAACACTCATTCTTTATAGTGCTTATTTTTCTCAGGTCTGTATTTTCCATGATTGCTTCATTCCGAGATAGAAAGGTACTATCATTTGCTTTTAGTGTTTTTAATTTTATATTATAAATTTTACTGATAGTTTCTGAAAATCCTTAAATAGGCCTAGAAAACTGTGACTTGGAAGGGGCCCCTCATTTGCATTGGGTATATGTAAATGTACTCTATTGAGTTTCATTTGCGTTTAAACCTACACTTTTGAGGCCAAGACCTTGGGAATTTGAGGGCAAAGTGAATTTTAATGTGCTACACTTTGAACTTTGACGAATAGCTGGAAAAAAAAAATGCCCTGATAGCTTGAATTATTCTAGCCAAATTTGCCTGTTACTACTTTTCAAACCTTTATACAGTATATACAATCACAGGCACCGAAAAATCCTTTCCTCAAAAACAGATTCCTACAAAAAGTGAAATGAAAAGAGCGAGAAGTATAATGCACTTGATTTCTCAAAAACCTACTAACGGTCCAATTTATTTTGGTTCTTAGGCCCTCTGGACATGCTAGCAAGTAATTTTACGGCTGATAAAATGACTACTAGACATTTATCATTAAATACAGTTTTGTAATCTCTCTTTTCTCCTTCTTAAATCAGTCATCTTGGTTTCTAAAAATTGTTCCTTCTCGTTAGCCACTGGAGTCAGGTGCCAAAAGCCGACCCGGTGCCGTTTCACTACTGTCCGGTCTTCCATCTCAGCTCTGCAGTGCAGGCCTTGTGAATATTGTCGAGGTCAGAAAACCTATTCCCCCAGACTCGCAGATGCTGTTCTCCCCCCTCCGGTTCTGCACAGAACATCATTATCTGTGCCGAGCTTCTGTCTCTATGGCAATAACAGATGGGAAGTGCTGTGGAATTATTCATGTTCAGAAAAGGAGGCAGCCAAGGAGGAGGGGAAGGTGGGGGGTGGGACAGGGGCACGACCTGGGAGCTCGGGGACGGGGTGCGGGGAGCGAGCTGGCGAGGGCGTGGGGGAGGGGCGGGAGGAGGCGAGGCTCCTGAGCCTTGGGCGGGCTCCTCGGGAGAGGACAGGAAAAATCTGGGAACAAGGTTCTCCCCAGTGGGGTGACTCTAAATGTGGACCCCCATACGAACAGCCCCCAAACAGTCAAAGGAGAACTCGGACAAAAAAACAGGACAAAGCTCGATTCTCCTGAAGGCTGTGCAAAGCTACTGGGTGGACTATTTCAGTTCCCGGTCTTGCGGTGGGGTGAAGAAAAGGGGATTTCTTGGTGTTTCGAAATAAGACGGAGCAGCCCGGCCGAGCTCCATGTGCTGAGCGGCCACGCTCGCCCTGCAGCCCGAGGTCGCAGCTTGCCCTCCTCTCGTCCCTCAGCAAACCAGACCCAAACCTCCAAGCCCTCAGAAAACACTGGAAAAGCATGGAATGTTCTCGGGTTCCTCCCGGAGCCGAGAGGACAGTGCGGCGGGAGGGCGGCTGCGAAGCAGGGCTGAACTGTTTCCCCTCGGTCTGGCCGGAACCCCGGCCGCCGCGCCCTCGCCCCGCTCCCCGCCGCGGCCGACGGCGGATGAGGTCGGGCGGGGAAGGCGGC